AACAGAGCCAACATGGCGTCACAGTCGCTGACAGCTCACCTGCAAACACATGGATAACTGTACCGTACAGAACTGTTTCAGTCCCAGGTACTTGCAGAGATCAAACATTGTGCTGGAGAACACCCCCCCCCCAACCACAAACCCCCCCACACTCCCCTACAGGGCAGCAGGTTCAGGGCAGGAAGGAAAGCTTCGTAACACTGCAACACCTCTACGTTGACGTGATGCTGAATCTGCAGGGAGTTTCTGGACCAGAGGTCAGAAACTGCACACATGTGTGTGCGTGTGTGTGTAGTAAGTGAAAACTGATGGAGTGATAGGGCTGATGTGTGGTTTGAGGAGTGGAGGAGACGTGAAGTGTGAGAAAAAAGACTAGAGGTTGAAAGTGAAGAACGTGGAGAACAGAGGAGAGCTGTACCGCTGCTGCTAAGCTTCATGGGAAATCTGTCTAATGTGGAAGATCAGGAAGGAAATACGCTCTCGCAGCGTCTGGCAGTGAACGCACGCAGTGTAAAACAAATGATACGGTAGCTCCATGTGGTGACAGCCTAAGAAGGTTTTGGCTTTCTTAGAAAGGAAATGTAAAAACCGTCTCATACTCACTGTGTGCTTTTGTTTTTGAACAATATTTCTCAGAGATAAAAGGCCTGACTCACTGCTCATGACTCATGAGGACAGACGAACAGACCGGAGCTGTTTTCTTTTTCAACATTTAATTTCCTTTCTCACGTTACAAAAAAAACTAAAAACAAAGAGAAGGTTTGGTTTTTACGTGGTTGGACCGAAACATGATTGATTTAAAATAGAAATAATATTTATGTATTTTAGTCAGTGCAGATCAAAGAGCACTCTGGAATTTTACACACAAATTTATTTCGCCTGTTTTGCTCAGCTCTCCTCTAAGATTGCACCCTCTTCTGGCTGTTTTTGGTAATGGACCTGACAAAGACTAAGAAACTAAGTGTTTAGCAAACTAGCTCCAGACACAGGGTGATGTTGGATGGTCCATATAATGAATCTCAGCTCACGCCTTAATCACACCCTGCACCACTTACAAAAAAAAAAATGCCTTAATCACACCCTGCACCACTTACAGGCCGGTTTAAAAAAAACAAAAACCTCTCTAATCAGCAATTTTAACGAAACAACAAAGATCAAAAGGCAGCATCAATCAACGGAGGACGAGCAACTGTGAGGAGGAGCTCACTGCGGCAAACACCAGGACATCATTATTTCCACTATTAACTACCATGAAGGAGAAGGAGGCGTGAGTGTGACATCATCATGTTGTGTTGGTGTTGCCTGGATGTCAACAGCTGTAAAACACTGCTGGATATCAGATGGTCAGACCAGCAATATCTCCAAGAACCTTTGGTTATTTATGTGCTCAGACTATCAGACCCAGATGGAACTGACGATCCTTTAATTTGAGCAAAGCACATATTAAAATCATATGTTTCTTTTTTGAATTTTTAATGAAAAAAAACCCCATCAATAAAAAGTTTTAACATTACTTCATCTGCACCAGCAGGAGGTGGTAAATGAACATCTTTGGTCATACGCAGGTCACCAATCAGCCTCTGTCTAATCCTACTGCCTGTTACAGTGAACATATTCAGATCCTCCTTAAGTTTCTGTGGGATTTTTTTCTCTCTTTTGATCTCCTGCCTGACAGATCCACCTCCGACAGCCTCACACACTCTGATTTACACACACGTATTAATCTCTGTGTAAGAATATGCATCGTCTACAAAGAGCCTGAAGGTCCAACGACAGGCGTGATCCCATCGGATTTTTTTTTTTTAAACTTTCATGCAGTTCAGGTCTAGTTTTCTTTTTATTGATGGGCGTGGGATTCAAAGACCACTTACGTTCGTTTATAGGCAGAAGCTGGCAGATGTACGAGCTATTTTAAAAATAAACGCATAAACGGACCACCTCTAGATACCTCCTCATGGATATCACATAATATGCAGTACAGGGGGTTTTTTTTTGTCTGTAGTATGCTGAGAAGTACACTTACACTTCCTGTAGTGCCCAGGGACAGATGGTTCATCTGCTGAGTGAGAGGGCCCATCATACTGGCTGGCTGCATGGACATAGTGTGGTCCATGGCTGGCGTGATCACTGCACCCTGGAAAAGTGGAACGAGAAGAAAGACGGTGAGAGTTGAGATGAAGATAAATGACATGTAAAAGTCATGTGTAAAGGCTAAAATACTTTTAGTCTTTTCTACGCCATCTATTGGGGAAATGCAGGCATTGGAGGGAATAGGTATAAGTATAATGATAATATAAATTAATAACATCATTTGGACAAGTTCAGGGGGCCGGATTAAAAACGCCAAATGGACTGTATCTGGCCCCCAGGCCGTAGTTTTCCCCTTAACTGGTGGGAGTGACACCCACAGAAAAAAGTTGGAGGCTCTTTATCATCCATTCCCAGGAGGTACAAGTTTGATATTTTGATTCGATAGAAAAAATTAAGTAAACACCCTTTCATCTACGATATCCTGGGATTCAAACTGGAAACCCTCTGGACCCCAATCAAACGGTTCTGTAGGGATGTTGACTCAAAGATTAAAACCTTAAACTCAAAGTTTCCTTCAGTGACTGGACACAGACTCAACACCGATGACTCAGACTCAGACTCCCAACCCCAGAGACTGAACCAAAAACAATTATTCTTAACTAAAACCTAAATTGGTGGGAACTTAATCCCATTTTTTGTCTACGATTATTTTCTGATCTCAACCCTGGGGAATGACATTCAACACGACTTCTTTTATGTGACCCTGACAGCGAGGACTCAACCCAACA